ATTTTCTAATTTTAAACTCTGCTGATGGTTCATGAAACGGTTGTAGTAATGAAGATAACGCTGAAGATTAGCGCGAGAGAGTTCTTGAGCGTCACGCGCTTGTTTGGCACGTGAATCATCATACCTAGAAAAAGTTGCAATTAAATAGAAGGAAAAATTGGTAATTTCATGAATCCAAAGCTAGATACCTGTTGCAGTTGTACCAGCTGCTACCGTGTGGTTCCCACGGACCCAAACAAATCCAGCAAAATTCCATTCGACAAGCAGTGTTTTTGCAAACCATGTGGTTGCATCCCCCATCTTTTTCAATTGTCACCTAAATTAAAAGTTAAACGGAAGAGCCTTCACCTACTGTTAATGCAAAGCACCTGGCACTTTGGGCACTCTTTCGTGTTAGCATTGATCCAGTTACTCGTTTCAGAATCGTCGCTGCATTTCTTCAACCATAGCTTCAAGAGACGACAATTGACAGGCTCGTGCCATTCATGGGCACAACCGAAGCAAAACCGCATCGAACAAGAGCATACAACAGGTCGAGGCTCAGAGTACCCTACCTAAACTAGCAGCATTATGTTCGAATACTCACAAAAGGACGCCCCCTCCAAAAAAATCTAGAGAAGGCAGTCGAAATATTACTCGAGAAAAAAGTGACTCTTCTATTTTAGTGAGGTCAAACCTGCGGCGACAAAGCTTACGTTTCGTTTCTATAAAACACATTCTACTTGCAAAACACGTCGCACGATTGACCTATTGTCTGATAGCCATGCAGCGAAAGCTGAAAATGAGTCAAGGACACGTAATACTAGGACCTCAACCTTGAGCGCCTTTCCACAATCGAGACCTGGGCACCATTTCAACAAACGGTTCCCCTCCACAAAGCTATTGATTTTGAGACGATGGTAAGCATTACGAACAGCTTCACTTTGGATATATTGCATTACCTAGAAACAACATTCATCCAATTGACTAACCAATCACGATGCTAACGGAGTGTTCGAAATACCTTTTCGTCTTGAATTAGCAGTTGACATCCATTGAAAATACACTGTATCTCACTGGTTGCGTCATTCATAATCTGGAACGAGAAGGCGAGATAAGAAGCAAAAATCTTCCACATGGGTCTTCGTGAGAAATATTGACTCATTCCTAATACATTTGCTAGTGATCTGCATGTATTGACGACTTCTCTGTGGTGCTGCAGTCTCGCGAATCGTACACAACGAAGGATCACAGTTATCACAAGAATGTTGTTATGGGCAAAAGTCGAACCCCAGGCGGGAGTCGAACCAGCACCTCACGCTTTCCGGACGAGTACGCTGTCCGTTATGCCACCAGGACCGCTTCCACCTTCAGCTTGACGGCTTATGAAGTAACCT